CTACCTGTGTCTCTCTACCCATACCTGAGTAATTCCCAGCGCGCCGTAGAACCAGGACTGCACATTGCCCTGGTGCATCAAAAACACTGAGAAGCCGAACGCAAAAACACCCCATACAAACAGGATCATGAACACCAGAGGCAGTTGCTGTGTGAACTGGTACTCCACTGGATTAGGGAAGAGAATGCGGCGGATCATGTCGCCTTGCTCAGTCCAAGCCCCGGTCTATAAATAGTACGTATGAAAACTATATTTAGAATGATCTATAAATAAAACGTTTGCAAGCTATATTTCGAATGGCTGGGTGTATGTTATGAGGTGTGTGTGTTTGTGCAGAGGATCATGAACACCAGAGGCAGTTGTAGTGTGAACTGGTACTCCACCGCATTAGCAAAGTGAGTACGGCGGATCATGTCCATTTGCACAGTCTAAGCACCGATCTATAAATAGAACGGGTGTGAGCTATAAATAGAACGGTTGGGTTCACGTTCTGAGAAAGGTGTGTGTGTGTGTACACATAATATCATGAATGCTAGTGGCAGTTGTGTGACCAAATAGCTCAACAGAATAGTGGAATGAATACAACGCACAAGGTCTCCTTGCTCTATCTAGGCACCCATCTATAAGTAGAACGTGTCTGAGCTATAATTGGAACGTGTCTGAGCTATAAGTAGAACGTGTCTGAGCTATAATTAGAACGTGTCTGAGCAATAATTAGAACGTGTCTGAGCTATAAATATTATTGTCGTATTTACGTTGAGGTGTGTGTGCTTGTGTATATAGATTCATGAGCAACAGAAGCACTTGGCGTGTGAATCGGCACTCCGCAGTGAACAGTATACGACACTCCATCAATTTACGACACAAATATATTTGCAACACACAAAACAATAATTGATATGGTTATAAGCTTCCGCATAGTGATTTTATAGGTGACTACACATGCACAACGATACTCCGTCAATTAACGACAAAGACAGACACCAGTAAACTTGCAATGTAAAACACCCCGATTTGGTACAGGCTGCCAATGTGTTCCAAATTCCACATACTTCCATGGCCAGCATAAGCACTCGTTCTCCTACTGCGCTGGGATGAATAGCCCTGGGTTAGGAAAAGTTATTTCGCTTCAATATATCAATTTGCGACATGATCGCGGTTTGCGACACCGTACATGATGAACACACCTCGCAACGTTTTCTATAACGCCTCCGGCTTATGTGTCGAATGAGGCCAAAGATATACTCTGAACAAAATACATCCTAAAATATATATACAGAATATATTCCAAAAATACGTTCGGAATAAGTTCTAGAAATATATTCGAAAAATATTGCACTATTTAGGAGGCTAGGAATATATATTTTGAAAAATATATTCTAAGATTGAATGTATATTCTGAAAAACAAACTCGCCACTTTCTCGTGATGCTTAGCTGGGACCAGAAATAAAAGCCGAAATTTTGGCCTTATACCATTAATACAGAACAAAAAATCAGAATTTTGACCCGAAACTCTCGTTTAATTCTCAGATGTTGCCGACTTTCTCGTGACTGATTTAGAAACCACATCTAAGAACCGACCAGTGACCTTGTGAACGCTGCTACCAAATATGGGACACTTTAACGGCCATACGAAACCACCTCGATATATTCTGTGGTGTTTTCGGAACCTGAAATGGCACCCATTATTGCGATTGTGGGTTCTGTTATATATGGGTGTATATGCTATTTACGAAAACCATACATCCACCTACAGGTCAGGATACTATTATATATATGAGTGTATATGCAATTTACGACAACCGCAGATACGCCTACAGGCCAGGACAATGTTTATCCGACTAACAAGCACACATAAAAATCAAACACCGAAATTGTGGGCTCTGATATTTGTGTGTATAGGATTTTTTTGTCTGCCATATCTACACTTAAAGAAACCTCCCTTCAATGGTGCTAAGCCAGGACAGTACAAGTACAGTGCTTGCTTGTGCGACCAGGAGTGGCCCTGTACTCGTGTTGTGATGCTAAACCCTAGACCCTAAAACATATACAAATACTTATACTCACCTAATCTGTGATCCCGCCAGTATAGTGTACTTGCGACTCACCCCTCTCTTGACATAGAGATCGTGGTTGTCTATGAGTTGTGTCTTGTGCAGTGGCATTGACTCTCCTGTCAGTGAGCTCTCGTCCACCACCGCTTCTCCATTGACCAGAACCGCGTCACAACAGGCCTCCATACCTACCTATATATGGAAAAGGTATATGTATGTGATGTATGTATATGAGGTATGTATTACCCAGGGAAAACTAGATGTGAGGGTTTATGTGTAGCTATATGGCTAAATGTACATATAGCTATATATATATATATATGTGTGTGTGTGTATATATATATATATGTGTGTGTGTGTGTATGTGTGTGTGTGTGTGTGTGTGTCGTTGTGTAGTGTGTGTGTGTGTGTGTGT